TGCGCGTGGACATCGATTCAATATACGAACCACTACGACAGAAAGAAATAAAGAACCTTTCGTCACGCGGTTTGAGGCAGAACAACTCGGCCGCCGACTTTAGCCTTGGGGAAAGTGGGCAGAGGTCAAAGGACCTAAATCGACACTGCCACGTTCAAAGTCGCTTGCAGGTCGATCATGGATGGGGGATTCATTTAGTAAGCTTGCACGCTACATATCACTGCACTGAGGATGCCACCTCGCATAGTGGTGAAACGTTTGCGAGAAAACCGCCAAGCTCGGAGAACAAATGAACAATGGAGTCAGATTTTCTCTATCCGATCGCCTTATGCTAAGTCGGTGGGAGAGCCGACTGGCATCAGCACGCGACTGATAACTATTCGCCTACGACTCGGAACCGGTGACTTTGTCACTTTTATGACCATGTGTTATCCTGATTACACGCATGATCATTTCTACACTCAATCGTTCTCCGTGTTACGATCTGTGCCGACGCACGACCGACTATTTCCGCTGGGTGATTTCAACGTGCGTTTTAGAAGTGATGCAGCCGTGTGGACAGATGTTATCGGTCCGCATGGCGTTGGTTCAGCGTAAGCGAATGGCGACAGTGTGCTCTCACTGTGTGCCACTCAAGTCCTGACGATCACGAACACTCAGTTTGCGCTGAGTGCGAGTGATACAACTTGGGCACACCCAGGCAGTGGTCACGCTCACCTGCCCGAGTATTTTGTCGTTCGTCATCGTGACATGCGTGAAGTGCGCATGACACGTGTAATACGTGAAGCTGTGTGGCACTGATCAAAAATTGTTGCGGACCAAAGTGTACATATATGTTTGTAAATCAGTTGATTACACTCCCGCCGTGAATCGGCGTAAAGTTAACATTATCTCCCTCGGTACTGTGGCCACACGTATTGAGCTGGATAAAACGATGGCTGCAACCCTGTGTGATGTGGAGTGCATAGCCACAGTTGGCGACCTGTGGCACCATATTCGCAATCTTTCTTAACGTTTACACTCGATATTTTTAAATTTTACACTGGTGTAAATTATCAAAGTATTCATCTAGGCAGATGTTCGGTAAATGACCCAGATATATTTTGTTTTCGTCATATTCACCCCAACCATCCAACCGGACGTGTCAAGCAATTGCTTTTATCCTGTAATAAATCCTTGTTCCTTGTTCACTGTTCAGGTGATATCTGCTGAGGAGACCATCTGGCGCGGAAACTATAAGTGGCCTGATTGGTTTGACGAGAACAATGCGACGATTGGCGCATTGGTGTCGGAGAAGAATGCAGCATTTGCTGCACATGTTGCCGACCCCAGTGACTTGGGGAAGAAAAATCAGTTTCGCAAACTTCGACGGCGACTGACACGAGAGCTCCGTCGAATTCAGAATGCATAGTGGACGGCGAAGGCTAGACAAATGAAATGCTACGCCGAAGGTAGCCATCACAAGGAATTCTTCGACTCCTTGTAGGAGGCGTATCGACTGAGATCGGAGCCGCTGAGGACGCTGATCGACGGTAGTTCAGGTGCTACCTGCAAACAGACTGCAGATATAATGCAGATCTGGCGAAAACACTTTGACTGTCTCTTGAACAACCGTTCAGAGATCGACTGGCCTACATAGAACGGCCTCAAGCAACATGATGTGAAGGCGAATCTGGCGGACACGCCGACACTGGATGAGACGCAGACAGCACTTGCTCAGCTGCGAAACGGCAAGTGTGCCGGGGCCGACAGGATCCCACTGACGCTTGGATACACGGCGGACCCGCGTTGGTGACTGCGCTGCACCACTTGGTGCAACGCGTATGGATTGAGGAGGAGGTGCCTCCTGAGCTGAAGAATGCCCTTGTGCTACCGCTGTACAAGGGCAAAGGGAGCAAGCAATGTTGCACGAATTATCGTGGCATCAACTTGCTGAGTTGTGTGAGCAAGGTGATTGTCCAAATCCTGCTCAACCACCCCGTCAGTCAGGTTGTCGAACCTAAAGTGGCAGAAGAGCAGTGTGGATTCCGTTCGGGTCGTAGCACTATAGCTATGGTGTTTGCGGCTCGTCAGTAGCAAGAGAAGTGCACAGAACGACAGCAGCCATTGTACTCGCTTTTTTGTTGATTTCACCAAGGCATTTGATACGGTGAACCGCGAGGCACTGTGGCTGGTGTTGGGTAAGTTTGGTTGCCCGCGTAAGTTTGTAAGTTTAATTGAATGTCTACACAGTGGTATGCGAGCGAGGGTGCAGCTGAGTGGAGAGACGTCTGATGACTTTGCAGTTGTCTCTGGTGTGAAGCAAGGCTGTGTCTTAGCTCCTGCCCTGTTTAATATATATCTTCATGCAATGTTGTCTTGTGCTTTTGATGCGGCTTGTGCTTACGGTGTTCGTGTGGAGCACCGTATTGATGGTGGGTTGCTGAACATCCGTCGTTTCGGTGCGAGAACTCTAGTCTGTGAGACAACTATCCTTATTTTGCTGTTTGCTGACGACTGTGCGTTGTTTTCACACAGCGCGGATGAGTTGCAGCACATGACTAGTGCTCTGGCTTCGACAGCGGCCAAATTCGGGCTCACCATCAACACAAGCAAAACTGTCTGTCTCTTTCAGCCTTCACCGGAGGTGCAATCTTCAATATTGCCGCAAATCAGCATTGGTGCTGACGTATTGGAAACCACCTCCCGCTTCAGCTACCTTGGGAATGTGATGTCGGCTGATCAGCAGCTACCCATTGAGCTGCGTATTCGCGTGTCGAAGGCAGCGACGGCATTCGGGAAGCTTGAGTACCGACTGTGGAACAACCATCAGCTTACCGTTGGCACGAAGCTGATGGTGTACAAATCCATGGTATTGTCCGTTCTTCCATACGGCAGTGAAACGTGGACGATGTACCGGCGGGATGTGCGCTATCTTGAGCGGCACCATCAGCAGTGTCTGCGACGGATTTTAGGCATCGGCTAAGGTGACAGAGTTGCAGACACGAAAGTTTTGCGCCGAAGTGGGATGTATGCAGTCCACTGCATAGTTTTGCTGAGACACCTGAGATGGCTCGGTCACGTGTGGCGCATGGATTCGACGCGGATACCGAAGCAGCTATTATATGGTCAGCTGTGTATTGGGAAGCGGCATGCGGGAAAACAGAAGTTACGTTACCAGGACATGAGCAAAGTGAGCCTTTCAGGTTCTACTCTTGATTGCAGGTCATGGGAATCGAAGGCGGTTGATCGGCTGGCATGGTGAGATTTAATCACGAAGGCAGTTGCCGAATTACGGGAGAAATAGCTCATATATGCAGAGAAGAAGCGGCAAGTGCGGAAGCGGCAATCACCAATGGGTTGTACTCCATTGGTATCAAACGCATGGTGCTGTAGAACATGTAGTCGCGAGTGCCTGAGTCAGGCAGGCCTAGTGAGCCATGAGTGAGGCCACTCGGAACTACCAGCGAAGCGACGAAGAGTCCTGCAGAGAACGTAGGCAGAACCTGTGCAGCGTTTTTAGGTACGCTGCATTCGATTCACTAACCGCGTGCTTGCATTCTAAGTCTCTTTACTTCAGGTGCTGTGTTTACAATTTTGTCTTAATGCTTTTCTTTCTCACATAAATATCTACCAGTACTCTCTTCTATAAACTTGCACACGTCGCTTAAGCCGATAGTAATTAATTTCAATAACATTTTCGTGTTTGTGTCATTTCCGTAAAATATAATTTCTGACCTCGTGAACTTATCTCGGATTCTTCTGTAAACAACTTATTTCACATGCTCAGTAGTCTAAGGTTTACGTCGCAATTTCCTTATGCATTAATCGGTTTTTTTTATCTCTCAAGCGATTGGCTGTTGCTTGATATCCCCCGTGTGGCTGCGCTTGATGTGCAAGTTGACAAGGTGCCTACCTGTCTAATTGGAGGGTCAAGTTTGGACTACACGTTGTGTGATTGGATTGCGACGCGCAATCTCAATGTAATGGACGGTGGCATTCATTGAAATGAACCTTAGTCACTGCGATCATGGGGACCGTACTCAAAGCATATGGAAATTGGGTGTTACCCACCCAGTGTTTTCGGGTGGGCAACACCCAATTTCCATCTGCCTACCTGTCTATTACCCACTACCTCGTGCATACTGGCTCCAGAAGACAGTTAGTCGTTGCTGGAGGGGACGGGGTGCACGGTCTTCGTAGTCGTGCTAAGCTAGAAGGGTGGTTCCATGAATTTAAAGTGAGGCGGACCACGGTCCAGCCACCGCCTTGTGTGTACTTGGATTTACAAATACAGCGTGCTTGTGTTTGACTGTGAAGGAGTGTGGGCCAGCTCCGTTGATGAAACGTGGCTCCCATCCACATACCTCCCTGTCATATTCCTTCTTGTTTACACTGGATATGGGTGTGTGGTTGGAGCTGAGGGTGGTACAGCGCAAGCCACCTATGGTCTATGTGTAGGCGCAGGCATTATGTGGTTGACCACAGTGAGAGGCAAATCCGAAACCGGATGCTGCCAATCATATGAGCTTTATCACAACCAGTAAATTTATTATTTTGCTAACTGCCTATCCCCGTAGCTCAGTTTTCTTCACCACAGACAGGTTCGATCATGACCGCCGGCTCTAGTATCGCAAGGGCTAGATGAAATGCACAATACTAATGATTTCATCAAGCCGACATCCTGTTCATTTCCGGACGTGTGATGGCTGTCGGACTGAGATCAGATGTGGGAAATGCAAATTTCACTATATTAATCCGCTCTCCTAGTCACCTAACTCAATTATTTAACACTTTCAACCTCATCATTGTGTATCATTACCACCTGTGTGACACATCTTTACTTGCTGACCGGCGTCAGTCCCATCTTCGACGAAGTTTGATTTATACCTAAACCAACAAGGTGACCTAACACACTCCTTCCGAGAACCTGCGTAAATGAAAGGATGTCGTATTGGATAGACAAATCAAGGTATTTCGTTTTAAAGTAAACTCATGAGTTAGAAAGCAGAAATAATTACCTTCTCTTCTTCTAACTTGATTTTCATTGTCACTTGTTCGGTACTTGATAATGCGTGATCGTGGTCGCTATCGAAACGACCGAAGACGGTATCGATTTCTTCTGTGGAGAACCCACTCCTACGACAAGACAGAATGAACACAGGTAATTGTTAGGTGCTTTACTTGACTTGCTGACGAGGTACTCGTAATTCAGTAATCATAAGCGACCGTGGTCGCCTTGCGCCACGTGACGCAGCAAGCCGCGGCAACCGACAACGCTGCACACTGTCTTTGCAGAAACAGCATTAGAAAGTACTGAACTTAAGCTATCGACTGATCTATTTTAATTAGCAGCTGATGTAATCAAAGGATGTACCTCCGGAATCTACCTGCGTCAGTGATGCCTATACCTTTGATCTTAATCTTCGTCGTTCGGTATAGAAATTTTGTACTTAGAGCATGTACTTGAGAGTACTTATGTACTTGAGAGTAACTAATACATTTGCTGAACCTTTAAAGCTAGCCAAGCCGCAGATCAGTGCCGCCTTCTCAAGAGCTGAAGAAAAGTAAAGGATTATCTGCTTTCATGCTCATTTGACGCAGCTGGCATTGCTTATTCTGTTGAACAGGCTGCTGTCTTCACGAGTAGCGTTAAACAAAACCCCCTGGCCCACAAGGAAATTTCGTGATTCATATATGGCTATGTTGTAGAAGTCGGGGTGCTTTACCATCTCATAAAACCAATCTAGAGTTTCCTGTGCAGCTACTTATTCAGTCAGTAAATTCATTACTCAAAGAGTAGTTTGCCGATTAGGTCCACCCTAGATGGCTTCAGGGTAATGTCATCGGAAAATACTCCCTTGTGCGAACGAGTGAGTATCAAATCATACTTCATTATAAATACATGACATTCCACCTATGTTCCGGCCGGTATCAAGACAACGAGACGTGCTAATCACAAACTCAACTATCAAGGATGTAACAGACATGTACTGCACTGACGCGCTCAGATGCTGTCTGAGTTCATCGAAACTCATCCTTCTTTCTCCACTCGAATGAGCCAGTTCCATGGCTTTTTGTAGTCTTTCGATTCGAGACTTCTTCCGCTTCATTCGTTTCAGCATATTCTTCATGCGCTATGAAAATGCAAGTGTAGTATGAATGAATTTGCTTCAGGAAACTGATTTTCAGATAGAGGCGTATAGCTTACATGTTTTCTTTTCTAGATTTCACATGACTGTTTAAGCTAGAACGCAATGGGTACTTTTTATCAGCTCTACAATGGTCTGCTGTTACATTTGCAGTATGCATGCATGTATCGGAGCCGAAGCAATGCCTACAGCTACAGGTCGTTATGGTCTTTTAGGGAATGGGACTATAAAGAATCTCTCGACTTAACTGAAACCGGTGTGCCTAACTTGCATTGATTGCCTTCATTCGGACACATGGACATTCTTATTCATTCTAATTATTGTTATCGTAAAAATGGAAGCCATAGCACCATAAACTCAATTGCGAAACCGAGTTTCTAAACTACGATGCAAAAAGATTTATCTAGATACACTAAGTGAAAGAGTCTAAGACCGAACTTACGTTTTTGAAAAAATCTTTCACTTCAAATTCATTTTGTTGATTCTGCAAGTCTGACTTGACGCCCGTGTACGTCTCATTGATGATGGCAATAAACATATTGATAAGAATGAAAAAGACAAAGAACACGTAAACAATGAAGTAGATTGGTCCGAACGTGCTGTTTGCTCTTTCCAGCGCTCCGAAATCAAAGTCCCCCAAGATGATGCGGAAGAGAGTGTAGCTTGAGAACCGATGTAGACAATGAAATTGGAAGAATAAAAGTGAGTAGGTGTGCTTAACATGCTTTTGAATTTTGATACAATGCGTTACGTAGACAATGAAGAGTAAGTCCGAAAACTGTGGTTGTCTTGGTATATTTCAGCGTATTTATGGTAACGTACCACGTACCCTGGGTGGACCAGAAGGAGTCCATCCAGAGAATCGTTACTAAAATTTCCACCTCTTCTTGCACGGGATGACCTATGAGCCAAGAGTTTAGCTTCGGCAGCTGACCAGGTAGCCATGAAGAACACTGGACGATATCATACGAAAAGGGTAACTTGTGAGTAGAAGGATTTTTGTGAGTATTTTTGTTCGTCGCAGTCAGCCGACAATACAGATAAGTCAAGTACCTATCCGGAAAAGCACCAGACGGCCGTTTCGCCCTGTTGGGGCTCGTCAGTGGTGCGCATCCTTCGGTCCTCTACAGAGGATCGAACCCATGACTGCTAGTGGCCTGTGCCAACTAGCCCACATCTTATGCAACCGCGCCATGGAGGACGGTAGCCGACCATCACGAACTGTTAGCTAACTGCGATATAGCCCGACCCATCCTTCACTGTCATGCAGGCACCTGCCATGCAAATGACAGCGGTTGGCATTCCGCTGTCAGGACTTCCCGGCTATGGTAACTATGAATCGACATAGCATTTATGGAAACCGTCAGGGCGATTTTGTATTGCTTATGAGTAGAAAGCTTTTTGTGAGTAGTTTTGTTCGTCGCATTCAGCCGACAATCCAGATAAGTCAACTACCTATCCGGAAAAGCACCAGACGGCCGTTTCGCCCTGTTGGGGCTCGTCAGTGGTGCGCATCCTTCGGTCCTCTACAGAGGATCGAACCCATGACTGCTAGTGGCTTGTGCCAACTAGCCCGCAGCTTATGCAACTGGGCCATGGCTGACTGCGACGAACAAAATACTCACGAAATCCTTCTACTCATAAGTAATGCAAAATCGCCCTTACGGTTTCCATAAATGCTATGTCGATTCATAGCTGCAGTAACCGGGAACTCCTGACACCGGAATGCCAACCGCTGTCTTGAAGGGCAGGTGCCTGCATGACAGTGGAGGATGGGTCGGGCTATATTGCAGTTAGCTAACAATTCGTGGTGGTCGGCTACCGTCCTGCATGGCGCAGTTGCATAAGCTGCGGGCTAGTTGGCACAAGCCACTAGCAGTCATGGGTTCGATCCTCTGTAGAGGACCGAAGGATGCGCACCACTGACGAGCCCCAACCGGGCGAAACGGCCGTCTGGTGCTTTTCCGGATAGGTAGTTGACTTATCTGGATTGTCGGCTGACTGCGACGAACGAAAAGGATAACATTGACGATCTATCTTGTAGGCTGGTTCTCTGATATCGATGTAACATCTCAACTTATGAGGTCACATGCTGCATGAACTGTACGTCGGGTGCACATCTTACACACTTAACCAGCGATGTTTTTTCGGATGATTAATTTCAGGTCAGGCAGGTATAAGTGCTTGAGAGCCCGTGTAACTTACTCTAGTGGCGTGGAGAGCTGACTAGCCCAACTCAAAGTACTTGGGGTGCTAAAACCTCTGGTTATGGTCAGAGCGCTCAGAAATCGGGCTGAACCACATTTTCGTTCACCATACAACCCAAACCAGTTAAATGTGAAGCCAATTTAGACAAGAATGAATAACCTCTTACAAGTAGGTGTGTCAGTCATCGAGTTTTGTGAAAACTGAAAATATCATTATACTTCTTAGATTCTAAGTTTGGTATCTTTGAGGAAGATCTTGGCATCGCGTCTGATCTTTCAGTTTAAGTAAACATTTGGTATGCACCGTGAATGCCCGATGAGACTGCATTCCGCACACACGTGTCCATTGATTCCACACTAGGGTGCTCGTTTTAATAAATACGCTCGTGTGAACACTGCAATATATTAATAACCACGCTGCAATGACTGACTAATCACACCGAGATTGAGACAGTTTAGCGTTTGTAACTTTTTTGAGAGTTCATCGTGATGGCTTCCAAGTAGTTCGAAACAAGCCCGGAAAAACACCGGATGACCGTTTCGTCCTATTGGCTTTCGTTTGTAGTGCGCATCCTCTGGTTCCATCAGGATCCGAACCCATGACTATTAGCGACCTAAACGACACGCCAACAGCTTATACAACCCAGTCACGGAAAGTGGTGGTAGGTCGTTATGATTTACTAGCTAACTGAGGTGTAGTAGGACTCATCCACCATGGTCATGTGGGCTACGCATGTTGCAGAGAATAAGGTTGACCACATGGGGTTCCGACGTTCACTTACAGCTGTTATGTAAGACGGTATTTAATGACCATTGAAGCGAATATTTTGACACACGTTTGATTGTTGATCCATTCTCTTTCTAGGTGTGTAGTCCCACGGTAGAAAACTCGTTAAAGGATCTACCTTACAAACATTGTTACTCTGTCCCAGCATTTCACCCTAGCTAGATGAAGCTGGAGCTGGCAAGGTCACCCAGGACTTCAAGATTATTTTTCACGTTTTGCTCTCCATAAATACGCCTTTAGCTGCTGCTTAGGGGCCTCTAGGCTGGTAGTTGCCCTGATTCATTAACCATTCTCCTTTGGTAAAAAGAGGCCAAATACGCACTGTGCTAGTTAACTAAAGGGTTTTTATATGTTCTAGTATCCTGTTTGAAATAGCGTTACGTGATAGACCTGCATGTCATCAGTGTCGGTCAAACATATCCAGAATTTCTTCCCGTCTACTTCCCGTCGACTAGGAAAATTTAAGTCAATTAGTTCACCGTGAACGTTTTGCTCTTTTGACACAGGAAAGTAGTAAATTATCTGCCTTATCCGTTCCAAGCCTTACCCTATACAAGATGACATATCACCCTAAAACATGGCATTAAGTGCCCAGTTGGTTTACATCGGATACACTTTCCAATATATTTATTCACAGAGTTGTGTATCTGCGCAGTGGGATTCAATTGAATTAGAACTATTGTCACACTATGGTCGGTAGTTGCCTGAACCCCTTTCAGTTAAGTTTCGGATCATGAGCACCACACTGTATTTGCCATGGGTACCTAGGAGTTACTTTGTGTGATTATGCTGGGACTCCCTGTGGCCACCTGGCATAATAACAAACATGGATTGTAACTGGAAAATGGACGGTTCTGGCGACAATGTCCCTGTGCCGAAAAAGGTAATTCAGTGGATCTAATGACGCTTGGAACACCAATGTTGTGCTAGTAGTGGTTGAAATTGCATTCAAAATGCCCAATATTATGTCCAAATGCGCAGGTGCATAGGAACATGTGCTGTCGGCGGGTTGCTTAATAGCTGGCACATATAACACCAAAGGATTTCAGCTGTGCCATTGACTCACACTGAATCCTACCATGGATGTAAGCGCCATAAATAAAAAATATTACATAAAATTTTTATATAGAATAAGTGAGCCAACCGTCAGCAGATAGGTAACATACGCAGTTTCGAGAGCCGGATAACTACTCAACCAAAATGGTAACTTTTGGCTTGCGATAACCGTTTGAAGATTCAGTCGAAGCATCGCCACGGCTAGCATCACATATCATCAAAACAAAAATTCCGCAAACAGAAGCTAGCGGGTTCCGAATTTCTACAGTGTTGCGACAGATGCTGCGCATGTAGCTTGACGGACAGAGTGACGGCAGATACCGAAAAACACCAATGTCTAGGATATTTCGCTGCAAATTTGTCTTCTTCGGAAACAGAATTCGTCTGAACGGCAAAGGTGTTGCGCTGTGAGGCAAAGAAGTTGAGTCGTTCCCCAACTAATTCGAACCTTGCGTGTGCCGCTCACTTGCGCACGGGTGTAGTTGTGCGTGTACAGCCCAGCGCTTCCAGCCAATAGGGCCTCAGACGCACTAAATCATAAGGGTGAAGGTGGGACGCTTCAGCTCCTATCAGATACAGTGTCGCTGGCCGTTGCACCATGTAGGCATGTGTTTCGCTGTCCAAGGAAGCGATTCCCACCAATTAGAAAGAGAGCAGAGATTTGAATGATGATTGCGCTGGTATAACGAACCAAAGCCAACTAAGTTCGCCGTGTGATTTTGAACGTGCAGTTCATCTAAACTCAATGGTTGGCTTGTATGTTCGGCACTCGATGGAGGTGAGGAACGTCATACTGAAAGCGTACGAGGAAGGCGACGGTGGGAAACAGCTCGCATGCATACTGAACGTGAACGTGAAAATTTGCCGCAACTGGCTCCAGGCGTAGGTATCGACGGAACCGGTAGGCAGCACAGGGGAGTCCGTCGCAGAGTATTGGGAGGAAGCCACGTCGACTCTCTGGTAGAGTTGGTTGCTGCGGAGCCCGCCGTTATCCTTGAACTCCTTTGTCTGCGGTGGAAGGTGGAGTTCTAACTCTCAGTAAGTACCAGCACGGTCTCACGATACTTGGATGGTAGACTGATAATCATGACGAAACTGCACACTAGTCCGGAGTCCATAAACACGCTGGAGTACAACAAGCGACACGGGTCATTCGTTTTACCACTCATGGATTACGAGGTGGAAGGAAGGCAACCGATAGGAATTGATGAGACCAACTTCAACGTAGGTTGCTCTTGCACTCGTGACCGCTCACGACGTGGTAGTCGAGCGCAGCTACAGTGGCAAATAGCCGGGGACCGAATGTTCATCTCGTCCGCGTCATGGCAAACAACGACTTGATGGCGTGTTCGGTTCTGAGAGAAAGTTACAACCAGAATAGGTGCGCACATTGACTGCGACAAGTGTCTGATACCAACGGAGCAGAGTTTGAGGAGTGGTGTCGTTTTATTTGCTACAATGCGCTTTGTCGCGTGCACCTGGAGCACCTTTATCTGGAGGAACCGTACCGTTCAGGGAGACTTTTACGCCTTGCGCCATACTTTCCGACACTCGATCCCATCGAGCGCATCCTGGGCATAATGTATGGTCATGTAAAGCAGACGATGTGGGGACAGTACTCTGAGATGCTCCTGGGGGGTCATAAAGGCGTTATGAATAAATGCAAGTGGCGGATTCGCTTTTTGGAGCTCGCAGTGCCTGAAGCACTGGCCTTAATGACGCAGCAACATTACGAACAAAGGGTTCATCATGTCACTGGGAATTATGAACGTGTTGTTTATTTGGCCGATCTGTAAAACCTGTTGGCAGTGAACTACCTGTTCTAAGCGAGTGTTTTTCTCACTTTATTATGATGACGGGTCAGAGTGCACTTTATGTCGTGCTAGAAATAGCCAGTCCTCTATTCGGAGGAACTTTGTGGATTTCCGGTAATTTGTTGTGTGTGATCGCGTCGCATACCCGTTTTAGTTGCCACGTTGTGGGAAAATGAGGTGAGAGCTTGAAAAATGGATGCCCCTCTAACACGGTTGTGTGGCAAGCAATTATGTTCTATAGCCTGTCGTGGTTTGTGTTTGGGGAGCCAGGACTTTGATGATGACATAATAAAAACGAAAATTTAACTATGCCAAATTGACGGACGTGAGTGATTTGTGCAGCTGTTTGCCGGATTGCTTAACCGGTACCCTGAAGTAGGCGGCTGGACGCTGCTTTCTTCTCCTGCAAGGATGATCAATACGGAAACGCAGAACAGTTAGGGAAAGCAAAACTAACCTTTATCGCGCTCTTTATGGAAATATTTCCGGATTGGTATTTGTTAGCTGCGGACTATATTCGAATACGCCACAGGGTTGCTTTGAAGCCCCAAATAAAAGGTATTCGCTGTGGCGAGTCACATTTACTCGTCAGGTTGTAGCGTCTGCTCAGGAATGAGTGCCGGCGCATGACACTATCTTTTGCTGACGGAAAATGTTGCGAGTGTCAACTACCTTAGCTTACTTCTGCAACTTTATGCCGACTAAAATGAATGCTGCATTTGATGCTCCCAAGAAAATATGTAAATAGGTAATAATGTGTCGGCTGTAGGCCGGGACGGCGCTTCGCTGCCTTGCGACCACTACTAGTCGCACGAGGTCTGAGCATACCACGAGGATGCCCACCCCTACGCAAATTAGTACCCGCTCCGCAAGTTTAGGAGACAAACTCATTGCCTCTAGGCTACGGGCTCCCAAGGATCCCCATACTACTTACAGTTTGTCATACAAGCATGTCTTGTTGAAGCAGGTAGTATCCCAAAAGATGGATACACCCAGCTGTGTGAAGCAATGCAATGTCGAAACAGCCTACATGGTTTCCGAGCTGATAGGTAAACTATCGGGGCTACAGACTGAGGTGCTCATGCTTAAAACAGCCGGTTTCCTCTACCAGCGACTGCCACCATACAAGATGGAGGGGTTTCCTAATCGCTATCCCCGTAAATATAGCACACTGTTAAAGCAATAGTATAGTCGCTGAAATGCACCAAAGTGTATTCAGATCGCAAAAGTGCGGTAATCTTCAATGTCCCAGACACAGGTTCATTGAAATCTGTGATGTGCACCCAAATGAAGCCTTGCATACTAACAGAGATTCGCCGCCGCCTGACACTACTCCACGACGAATCTCAGAAGCATAGCTGTGGATCTGTGTTTAAATACAACACTTCATGTGATCAGAGGCGTGGTAACTAATTTAGGCGCCCGAGAGGGTGGTAAAATTATTACTCTTACTGAGGGCAGTACACGCCAAACGTTCGGTAGAGTGCACACTAGTTTTCAAGGAAAACTAATATGCGAATGGAACTTGAGGTAAATGTAATGAAAGTGGCCACTATGACAGAAATAAGAAAATCACTGGGAAGAACGTTTGCACAGGTGTGACACATGGTGCAAAAGTGTTATTGATCATACAGAGCATTATTAATATATTCAAACCACAGCTTATCCGGAAAATGTGTCCTTGATACTTGGTGTTTAACACACGGAGAACCGCTCGAAATCCGCATCCACACCCCGAGCTACAGATATTCTCATTTACTTCAAATACGACGTAATATAAATGCCGCCCTGAGCGGACAGACATCCCGCCCCCATACTGTGAATTTGCAAACGAAACAACTAAATGTATACAAAGCGGAGCATTCATCCCTTCATCAACAAGCGTAGAAGTCTCCCTGAGCGGTACGGTTCCTCCAGGAGAACGTGCTAAGGGTGCGTGGGACAGGGCGCATTGTCGCAAATAAAACGACACCACTCCTCAAACTCTGCTCCGTTGGTATCAGACACTTGTCGCAGTCAATGTGCGCACCTATTCTGGTTGTAACTTTCTCTCAGAACCGAACACGCCATCAAGTCGTTGTTTGCCATGACGCGGACGAGATGAACATTCGGTCCCCGGCTGTTCGCCACTGTAACTGCGCTCGACTACCACGTTGTGAGCGGCCACGAGTGCAAGAGCAACCTATCTTGAAGTTGATCTCAGCAATCCACATTGGTGGCCTTTCTTCCAGCTCGTAATCCATGAGCTGTAAAACGAATGACCCGCGTCGCTTGTTGTTCTCCAACGTGTTCAAGGACTCCGGAATAATGTGCAGTTTCTTCATGATTATCAGTCTACCATCCAAGTATCGTGCGACGGTGCTGGTACTTACGGAAAGTTCGAACTCCACCTTCCACCACAAACAAAGCAGTTCAAGGGTAACGGTAGGCTTCGAAAAAACCCACCGCACTAGAAAGTCGACGTGGCTTTCTCCCAATGCTCTGCGACGGATTCCTCCGTGCTGCCCACCGGTTCCGTCGATTCGTAGGCCCGTATCCAGTTGCGGCAAGTTTTCACGTTCACCTTCGGTGTGCGAGCGATCTGCTTCCAATCATCTCCTTCCTCGTACGCTTTCAGTATGACGTTCGTTACCTCCATCGAGAGCCGAACATACAAGTCAACCTTTAAGTTTAGATGAACTGCACGTTCAAAATCACACGGCAAACTTAGTTGGCTTTGGTTTGTTATACCAACCCAATCGTCGTTCAAATCCCTACTCTCTTTCTAATTGGTGGGAATCGCTTCCTTGGACAGAGAAACACAGGCCTACATGGTGCAACGGCCAGCGACACTGTATCTGATAGGAGCTGAAGCGTCCCACCTTCACCCTTATGATTTAGTGCGTCTGAGGCCCTATTGGCTGGAAGCGCTGGGCTGTACACGCACAACTACACCCGTGCGCAAGTGAGCGGCACACGCAAGGTTCGAATTAGTTGGGGAACGACTCAACTTCTTTGCCTCACAGCGCAACACCTTTGCCGTTCAGACGAATTCTGTTCCCCAAGGGGACACTTTTGTCGAGAAATGGTTTTGGAGATTTTCCTTTCGATCACGTATACCTTCTGTTGTAAATTCCTAGCGAATGAGTGCTGGTTGTGTGGTCTATCTTGAGGACATTAGCACCGAAATTGTCGCCGAGTTGAACGGTTTGAAACGATTAGGTGTAATCTTCGACTCTACTTTGTGTTCTAGTGACACTTATTGCTTGTTTCCGACGAGGAAACTAAGCGGGAATTTAACTATTCTCTTAGTGACCAAAGTGGGACCCAGGTGCAGTATGTACTTAACACCATTCGTTCAGTCCTTCAACAGCCGGGTGTTCGCTAGTTGCACAATGCAACAAATGCACCTCACTGGCTACCCGGAATTAAGGCCACAGCACAGATACCGACAGCGGAATACAAGGGCTTTTTAATGGGTCCAAAATCGTATCCTATTTGTTCGCTGCACGGCGCATAGGGAGATACAATGTGTCATAAGTGCAAAGTGTATGAGATTATGGTGTCGCGGGGAAAATGTCAGATGAAAGGATAACACGGCCGGTGGGCCCTGTAGGAATTCAAAATCGTCACGACGGGATTAGAAGGAAATGGTATGCAAGTCGGTTAGGAAACTGCAGGGAGCAAACAACAGTTTATCAGATAAAGCAGATCAAATCCTAATATCTGTCTTGCGTAATGTATCTCAGGTCAAATGTGGGATGAAAGAGTAACAAGGACTTGTGTGCTCTTCTGGCTAGTAACACGGGGTAGTCTTGCACAATCGTTACGGCGGGCTTGAGATGAAAGTAAATGCATGTCGAGTGTGTTTTTACAAGGAGCAAAACAAACAGATCGCGCGATTATCCAAAACGACATCCAGCTACCCATCTTGTGACTCGGCATGGTAAATTTTCCGCCTGCATTTGGCCTAACTCGAATCAGTTCCTAGTCTAACGTTATCAGGCGTATTGCAACCTAAACACAGAAATTATTTCAAAATACGGACTGACATTTAGACATGATTAACCAAAGGCTGTAACCGAAACAACCATTCAAGCGGCCAATAAGGACAATGTTCACTTGCCTCTGAAGAGGCAGGGGTGGTCAACAAATGTTGCGGCTGTATCACCAACGGGTAAGCCGCTAGCCAAACTAACAGTGAGGCAGTCGTGAGCACGGCCAAAGTAACAAGTTGCCCATTCTGGTAATAAGCGACAGAGATATGAATGGCATACACATGTAGACACTTTATAGGCAGTATGAGTCTATTATCAGCCCGTTCGCCATGTGACCCGGTAGTTCAGCTGAGGCAGTTGCAAGGGTATAATGACCACTTACACAGCGGTGGTGAATTTCCTAAAATCATGCACTTGTGTCCCGAAAGCAAGATATCCAAGTTCAGCGAACGCGAAGAAGATGATGCAGAACATAACAGCAAATCCACCCAGGTCCTTGGCACAGTTGCCCAGAGTAGAACTCAGTTGCGTCATGGTTTTATTGAAACTGATGTATTTGAACAGCTAAAAAGGAGAGCGAAAAGAGAACTGTATCTCAAGGGAGAAACGTTTCCTCTATGTGCTTATCTCTGTGACGAAAAATTGCCTCCGAAAGATGATAATTATGGGCGCATGTAAAGGCTATTCGACCATGGTATGGTTTAGCCTCAAGCCGCTGTTTCAGTCATTGTAGTATCATTGCAATGGGTCTGGCCAGTGTACTTAGATCCGACACATAATATGTGCTACTAAAAATTTGGCGGGCAATCAAACGAGTAGAGGATCACATGGCACTGCAAGAAAATCTCAACAAGCCTTACGAGTGGTCGGATCAGAACGTAGTTGTTTAACCCTACCAAGCCTAAACTAATGAATCTGCACCACCACAGCACCAAGGAATGTCATGTAAGGGAACACCTCTGGCAGCACGCTTCGCATGAAAGTGGTCTCGGGGTGCTCATGGAGGACGATCTCGGATTCGCAAGACAGGGTGAGAAAGCAGTGAAAAAAGCCAGTCAATACTTAGACTTACTGTGGAGGACGTTTGGTTGGTTGGATCGCACATTTGCTAGCAAATGCTAAACGCTTACGTAAGGTCACACGTAGAAATCGGAAACACATGAGCCCACGGTTCTTGAGAAGCCACAACGTAGGGCGACAAAACATATTAGAGGTTCGCCCACCACCTTAACCAGTTGAGACTAAAGACTCGAAGATTTCAGCAAACAATATCATCTGCGAGACGATCTCAAATTGGTGTACCTGATCCCCAAAGGTCCTCACCACCCACGCTGACCCTTAGTAAATCTTAGCCACAACACCTCATTTAGAGACGACCAGTTGCACTGCTGCGCTGCAACGCCGGTGAGACTGTGACCGCTTGCTTAACCACGTCCCCAGCCAACCGAAGAAAACCAAAAAATCGCGGCTCAGTAGACAGGGTATATTCTACAGAATAGGTCGTCTCTATTTACTAGTGAACCATACACACTAATTTTGGAAAGTATTGTCACCCAATCTTCGGCGTCTAGCCCTCAAGCAATCTGCGCGAGTTCCGTTCCACTGGTTTGCCATATTTGACAGAACCGTTTGTCTCCGAGCTCGACTCCGCTCAAACCCTGGACGCGGGCTTGAGTTCACTGGTCAATCACTTCGCGCCTGACACCTAAATTTGGCTGAATAAGTGAACGTGATTTCTCGCTCGTGCGCATGGCCTTCACACGCAGCTGAACAATCACGTGCACCCCGGCATGCCGACGTGCACTGTAGCCACCGAGTGGGGCTGGCGCCTTGGCAGTGAACTTAGACTCCACTTGAGTTTGAAATTAGGCACCGGAAGGTTTTCTTCACTCGTGTATCCCAGCCGTAGAGCTTCTTCACGCGTTCTGCCATCACTGTTTCCTACGACAGCGGAATGTAGAATCCGACTTGGCGGTGTATTACACCACTTGCACTACAAGCTTTAACCAAATCATCTTGGCCACGGAATGAAGTAACCAAAGTATATGTTAATGTAACGTTTGCGGCAAATCAAGACCTACACGTACTTTCTTGATTGATACATTTTTGGACTCACACTTTACCGACGGAAACTGTTAAGCGTTTGTTTTTTACGCATGATAATCCCCTTGTTCCATTGTTCTGGAACGTTATTATGAGTAAGGCTACGTATGCACGGAAATCGACACAAACAGGCGCGCATTTCTATGTTTATGTAATAGAGGTTGTGAGTGAAACAATCTAATTATGTGTACCGCTCGCTACAATGCACTTTACAGCAACCTAATCCGTCAAACATGAAGAAGATTTTCATCCTGTCTTGCTTATAACTTGTTAGAGGAGCAATAACAATACAGGTGTAACTGTTCGTGTCTGTGGTCTTTCGTTTTGATCAGATGGTTCACTAATGTTTGACGTACTTTTACGCAAACCCCCTAAGTCATTTGGAGTCGTTTATTTTGCCTTCAGTTCGTAGCTATATTCTTACGCTAACGGTCTCACATTACGTTCCTCATGTACACTTTACTGGTTCCTTATTTGTGCAGTCTTTATTGACTATACTTGTCAGCACGCTTTCGGTACTCTGGTTGGCATTCACGCTTGTGTATCATGCTATATAACGTAGTAGATTTCCTCTGTAAAGGACCCATTGAATCTTTGTCTCCGATCGTTCGTGTTCTCACTACTGTTACTGCGTGAAAGCAGTCGCGTGCCTCCGACACAAAATCCCGAGAAAATCGCCCTGGAAAATCACTGGAAAGTAAACAGCCCCGAGAATTAACTGCCTAATCGTTATCATATTGATGTTAATGCTTCACGTTCTGTACCACAGTTCAGTCATGCTAGTGAGTATAACTAAATTTCCATTCTACTTCTGTCATGATGAATTTAGCTGCGCTTCTGAAAAGATAGGTACTCTCCAGCTTAGACGCGAAAGCGCAATGGAACCTACAAGAAGTAGTAGAAGTGGCCAATCATCTGGGTAGACGATGAAGAAGGTAACGTCAATTGTAATGGTACGTTAGTGCCTTAGTACATTAAACGGTATATGGAATTCAACATATAGCGACAGTGGTTTAGGAGCGCCAACTGACTGCACCCGTGACGTACAACGACAGATCGTCAGCAAATAGCTTATGGCCACAGCAGAGAAAACAGCAGTATCTGTTAACGCTTGGGTACTTAGATGGCAGCCATGTTTTTTTCCAGGAAATTTGTAGCACAGTGTGACCACTGTTTTGAAAACCGAATGTCTGACAGTGGGCAGCGAATTTGTGATATTATCACCTGCTAATGCCGATGGTTGAGTGAACTACGTTCTTCCAGAATGAACACGAACCTTGGGCAGCGGGTGATCTGAACGGTCCAGTCTTAAGCGGCGGCGAACTTAACACTCAATCGCAGTTGCACGCTGTGCAATTTCCATCAGCTCGGTAAGCCCGATTTCACATGTAACAGACGACACTTACAATACACACTAACGACATGTCATCATTATTTCATTGTACCATTGTATCGATTCATGAAGTAACCACATTAATAGCATTTGCTTCCCTATTCTTGTCTGTCTCTATCAGATACTGATGGCAAAGCTACAGACAAAACTTGAAGCTGTCAGTTATGTTCACGTCTAAATGTTTAGAAAGCGCCGACAAATTTTGTTGCTTCCTTATTCTCCACGTGCGACTTTTATAACTTGGGGAATGTGACTGTTAGCCTCACCCACAAACTAAACCCATGCACGTCCGTTGTACTATTGTCCTTGAGGTTTAATGTTTCGCTATTCATTTTGTAATAGTTCATACTTAAATGTGGACAAAAGCATGTTTACATGTTGAATTCGAACTGCTAATGGACACGGCTGCCGCCAACCCATGTACATATGTATGTAGAATGAATTCGACGAGTCGTGTGAATGGTCAGCCGAAATTACGTTACCAGGACATGATCAAGGTGAGTTTCTCACAAATTAATGTGGCTTCCGAATGCCGTAGGCTAATCAAGAGAGCGGTAGTCCAGGTACAGGAGAAAGCGCTATTGCACGCGGAGGAGAAACGCCAGGTTTCGAAGCGACAAGTGCAGATGGATTCTGGGTCTTCGACTTCCAGCGCATGGTGCTGTAGCACATGCGGTCGAGTGTGTGTACACCTGATTGGTTCCTTATTTGTACAGTCTTTATTGGCTTTACTTGTCCGCACGCTTTCCGTACTCTGGTTGGCTTTCACGCTTGTGTATCATGCAACCTAAGGTAGTGATTTCCCTCTGTAAAGGACACGTTAGATCTTTGTCTCTGATTGTTCTCGTTTTTCCGTTATCGTTAGTGGGTAGAAGCAGTCGCGTGGCCCCGACACAACAGAACTGGTTCAACATCAGCACATTGCAGGTGAAGTAAAATGCCGGATGAATACTACTAACTAACTCGTCCGTTGGATTATTGCGAGATCACTAACGCGTGCATCGCCCTCAGATCACTATGGCATTTCACAAAACACCAAGACCCGTGGATGTTTCACAAGCTGGAGGTTAACAAAACGTACCCTGAAATGAACCCACTACCTGTGGTTCTGACTCCCTTTGTCCTTTCTTAGTGGTTCGTTGCATCCATCTGTCCTTAACTCACCTCTGATAATGGACTAAGCCAGAATCACATGGTTGTTAGATGGGCAGATATCTTGGCTGTCCGTTTTAGTAGCGGTTGAAGCTTTCCTCGGTTCACTATCTAATTATACGAGCACCAGTCTCGTCTCGTTTTGACTTCTGATTCGTTGGATCGATATACGAGTAACTTGTCACTTGAATCGCCTCGGTTGACCGCGCCAGGTGGAAGGTCGTTGAGTGTTGTTTGTGTGCAAGGCGTATAGAATCCGAAATAAGTGCAACACACCCTATTGTAATGCTGCCTTCGTGAATTCTTCGAGATCAGTACAGCAGTTGGTAGTAAACGAGGTGATCAACCAGTGATGCAAATAAACCTGTTCTCACTGATGATCAGTAGTAGATGATAGATCAATTTGGATTATTTATAAGGCTGCTTGTCACATCCTCTTCAAGTGATGGCTTGACTTTTCCGTGTTGCAAATTTACAACTGTTCACGGTAGTAGTAGTAGTAGTAGTAGTAGTAGTAGTAGGAATAGTAGTAGTAGAAGCAGTAGTAGTAGTGGTGTCAGTAGTAGTAGTAGTAGTAGAAATAGATAGTAGGAATAGTAGTAGTAGTAGTAGTACTCTGTACAAGCTCGGTCATGGGGATCACGCTACTAAGGTTTGAAACGAAGTTCGCGTGGGTTCTAATTGCGGTCAATCACAATCGATACGTCATTCGTTTGAGTCTAGTGATGAGTACATGCTTCCTTATCGACCAGTATACATGTACAAGTGATTGCATGATAAGCGCTCCAGAACCGATGTGCTGATGAGGTGCCTGTAGTGACTCAGTACACAAGCAACTATTCTAAATTCTGGTGTGCACACACGAGATCTTGCAATAGCAGTGATAATATAAGTAGATTACCCGGTTAGAAACAAGCATCTGTATTCTGTCACGTGAATTTAACACTTTTGGTAGGAATAACACAGAAGATGAACCACCTTGTCGTTACACTATCAGCGGAAAAGGAAAAACAGCTATGAAAATGATTATGTAGGTGGTTAATTAGAAGAAAGAGATTACTAGGAGTACCCGCGTGACGCTGAATCAGCCTAAAGTATAACTGGGGCAGAGACTAGCATACAATCATTTTGGTAGTTGGGGGCTTCGGCATTGCTCTCTCCCATCAGTGCAACACGGAAACCCTCCTGTTCGGATATGGTCTAAGTAATCGGAATGGTAATGGTTGATTTCAAATGCAACCGAAGCCACAGTTGAGATTTCGGGTACCGCGAATCCCAACGTTGTGCTTTGGTACTTGTATCGGTTCGGTTTGTTACGCTATTCTGTGACTCAAGATAAATGTCAAGCCTGAACTACAACGGGTCAAAGTATTTCATTTATGCCACAGACATGTCTACACGCACGTGCTTGAGACACACAGAAACGTGAAGTTGGTTACGCGTACAGAGCGACCACAACTATTCAAAACAAGCTGAGGTAGCAACGAACAGAGGTAATCAGTACGTCGGCCTGCTGAAAAGGGCATTCAGGGGATTTCACCAATCAAGCTTCCCAATGATGCACAATCCGTAAGTGCGTCCTCACGTTGAATATGTCCTCTAATCTTGGCAACCTTGGTTGAAGCGCGACCTATAGGTGTTAGAGAAACCACAACGAAGCGGGAACAAAAATGACAAGGGTCAAAGCAATCACTCCTACCAGCGAAGACTGCAATTGCTGGGAGTCTTCAGTGGGCGCTACCGAAGGCTGCGAAGCGATCTCATATTAGTGTACGAAATAGTGTGTGACATCAACCACATATTCTGCCGTTGTCTGAAACTTAGCCACAACACCAATCTTAGAGGTAACTGCCCGAAACTGAGTGAACAATACAGCAGCCTAGAGTGTCGACGGAATAACTTTTCTCTTCGAGCTTGTCAAAGCTGTAACTCTCTCTCTAATTCAGTTGTATTCGTATCCACTTTGGACCTTTACAAAAAACAATTAGATGTTGCTCTTAGCACCTAGTATCTGGTTATCTTCGCTACGCTAGTGTGTGGATTACAGTAGTCGTGCCCTCCGCTACCGGATGTAAATCAATTGGACCCAAGGACCAGGTACATGTATTGTTAGTTTTCACACGCAATATATCAAATAATACTGTGCCCAGTGTTCTTTCGCATGCTCACGTTCAATTATTAAACTTCTAAGTTTTATTTAGCAGCGCACTTATCTCCGTAGACACCTAGTGAATGACTCACATACCCTTTTATCATAAAGCATTCACCCCAAACATCCTACGGGACGTGACAAGCACTCACATTTTAACCCGGGATCAATCAGTGTTCATTACAGTCCAGTACATCGACAAGGATAAGGTTAGGAGTTCAACCAGCATTTGTATGGATTGGTATTTGACGTATTAGGTAGTGGTTCCAACTGCGTTATCGGCCGGTCATTGGCGCGAACAATTGTTCCACTTTCGCCTATAAATTGTGCACTAGACAGCTTGTAGCGCGGGCATTAGTAATAATCACCATCTCCGGTAAACTAACGCTGGCCAGCTCGAAACAGCTTGAAGCGAAGAGCAAACACGGAGAGATAAGCGAAGCAGAGAAAGGACTCAAAGTAGTTTAAGTCAGCCACTGGCTTTCGGACTTAGTCACACCGGAACTGACGCTTGGTTGCTCCGGTTCCGAAACGCCCGAGTCAGCTGACGTTGGAGAGGCCGTTGATGTGATCTACTTGGATTTATCGAAGTCATTCAATTGTTAAGGTCATCGGATTCTCCTTTCTAAACTCAAATATTACGGGATCGGTGACCCTCTCTTGAGATGTATCGCCAACTTTCTCCTGCAGCGACAGTCAATGGTCAGAGTCCGAAATTCTTTATCTGACCCTATACCAATCGAGTCTGGTCCCACAAGGCTCAGTTATCTGGCCACGATGGCTTTTGGTATTCATCAATGGCCTTGCGCAGACAATCGGTTCAAAGTTTCTACTGTTTGCTGACGATTTCAAGATATGGCGCCGGATTCAGGCGGATGCCGATCAGTGTAACATCGATACGGTACATGGTTACTCAACCCGAAATCTGTTACAGTGCGCAGGTGCAAGGTACTCTCCATACGACACCAGAGTACCGGCGATAATTCGTCGAACGCGACTTAAGCCTGCTGCTTCAGGATAACGGGTTGTTCCAAGCAATCCGCTAAGGTCTTGAAAACTGATAACCAGCACGTCGGCATGTTACGACGAACGTTCGGACAACTAGACACCACTATTTTCAGACCGATGGTCAATGCGTATTTTCGCCTCCGTGTCGAATCCGCAATCCATGCCTGGCAGCCATGGCTGGAGCACGACACTACTGCCCTGGACCAACCTCAAGGTTGGGCGTTTAAATACGTCATTGGAATGCGCAATTTACCATATGAGCAGAGGCTGAACCCTTTGGGAGTATTCAGTGGGCGGTATCGCCGACTACGAGGCGACTTGATTACGACGTATTTGATTTTACACAGTCCAAATCATGTGTGCCGCTCTTCACTGCAACTCAGCAGTAACACCAAACTTAGTTCAATCCGTGAAATTAGCAGGACAGTACAACCGTCCGGCGTACCGTAGAAATTTCTTTTTAGTTCGTGTACGCCAACCATGGAACGCTCTCCACGTATCCGCTGTTTCTGCACCCACACTAGCCATATTTAAAAGTCGGTTGCATGACGCACTCCGCCAACCATACTTTGTTACTTGACACTGCTCTCCATCTTACTCCCGGGAAATACCTTGGATTTATTTTTTCGCCTATTGCAGCTATGGAAACACTCGGAGTGCAGGGCTACTGCATTTCGGGAATAAACTATTTAAATTGACTGTTGCCACTTTCCACGATGCATTATTTGCACACCCCACACGATGCATAACTACGTTTGATGAATATTTTAACGAATTATTTGACTGAACTAATTCGAAGGTCATTGAAAGGACTTAACTCAGTCAATCAACGGAAAAACTCCCCGAGATCTTGTGCACATCTTGCTGTTTGTCAGTTTTGACATAAATGAAAGCAGTTATCAAGAATTTCCTTAGCGAAACTGTGGCGTACATTGGTGTCTAAAACGGGCGACTATTTGCTTGATTGACACCTAATAAGTGCACTCTCCTACAATCCCGTATGAATCTACTCGGGCTGTCATAAAGTGATGGGCACACGCACGCTGCGGCCACCAACCTGGAGGATCCAGTTGAAAAACGATGATCAACCCCTCCATCACGGCGATATTTGTCAATAGAACACACAGTGAAACACCTGGTATATTCCCACTGTGGCTGCACAGCTTTGAGCCACATCCCTACCCATGACTGTGACAATCCATGACACAATCTTATGGGAAGTGGATGTTACCCGCCCGAAAACATTGCACTACACAACACGTTTCAAACTTGTTTGCTCTCATGAGGTGGAGATAGCAGGCCTCGAATCCGGAACCATTTGGAGGTTGGATAGGACATCTACCCTTTAGCCACGAGGTCATGACTGGCAACGTTTAGCACAACGATTAATGACTGATTGGAGGGTCATTTAGAGGTAGTCGTTGGGTGATTGGATTGTGACGTACAATCCCACTATGGACCACGATTCGCACTTAAGTTTCCGTGATTACGACCAGCACCGTCTTCAGCTACAAAAACTCCGATTCTGTACACCGGTTCACATCCTCTGATAAAACGGTGTCACATGTGAAAGCTTCTAAATCAATGCCTAAACCGACTGGTTCAATACAGTTCTGAACTTACATATCTCGAATTGGCCTTTTACCATGGCTAGTAGACCTATCTTACACACCATCTGTTAGAAGCCCTGACCACCCAAGGGCTGTTAACCGCCATATTTGTAAGCACATACGAAGTTGACACATTATGCTTTATTTGACTGTGCAATCAGATATACACCGTACTATAGGCCTGAGACTGAATAGGGAGATGAATGGATAGACTCATATTTTGCCAATAACCCTCATGCTCCTAATCGTTCCTGCTATATCGGAACTTCCTCATTTTCGGTGTTTCATGACATAACAATCAGTGAATTAGCTCTTCTACCAGTATCAGCTGAATACCAAAGGCTGCTATCATTAAGAGGAATTCTGTTGTCCACGAGCACTAAATGCGTATGAGGACTATCGGAAAGAAGGATGTAATTCTCTCAGTTCCTTTCGAGGGAGACATTCCCTTCGAGCTACTTTACAGGAGGGTGTCGACCACACTGAATCAAATCCATCCGACAGTCAGAGTGCACATTCTTTCTGTAACGGTCTCTCTCATTACGCACGGCCACAAAGATAGGTTTCCGGTTGAGTCCCACTCTTTTTACATACATCAATTCACCTGCACCTTGGTGCTAGGTATATTGGACATAAAATCAGACGTCCATCGAAGAGGATTGCTGAACATTGCCCCGCATCATTTCAGTACGGTACAATAACGAATCTCCAGAGCTCCATCTTAGAACAGCTACTTAACAACCGACATTAAACAAGAGCTAAGGATTGTTAAACTTTTCCCCACTGTACCATATCCGAACCCAAGAGGGCTCAAAATGCATTTGCTGTCAACGGCTGAAGGCATTGCAAGCGGATGGCTGCAGCCAGAACTGTGTAAGCAGAAGACTAGTGCAAGCCATGCGCTTAGCTTAGTCAGGTGACCTTAAATCAATTGACGCTTTGTAGTTTGTGTGATTTGAACCCCTGTAGAATTCCCTGAGCCGGACGTACCGGCCAGAAATTGCGTAATGTTCATTTGCTTATTGGCATCATCATTGTACACGCTTGATGAGAATGTTCGAAAAGAAATTTCTTCACACCAATTATCTTCTAATTTTACAAAATTTGTAATTCCTACAACGGATGATGAACTTACTTTCACCCAAGATAGGAACACAGTAATCGCTATTCCATAGTTGAAATTCATTTGCCAAATGCTTAACCATTGAAAATTGGCAAACTTGTTTTTCTCAATCAGCAGCTGGTCCAAGATGTCGTTTACCCGGATAGTTCGGTAAATGTTAAATGCGACACAAGTGAGGCTAAGAACGATGATGACGATGTCCAGAATGTTCCAAACTGACCAGAAGTAGGCCCACTTTTGTTTCGAGATCTGCAGCAGAATAGAATTTCTGATGTCGAAACCAAGGTCACAGTGAAGGCAATATACAAATACAAGTCGATGGGGAACAGAAATGTGCTTGTCAGAATGGTTAATATAGAAGCATATTTATCAATCTTTCCACACGTGTACTCCCGTAGTATATAATGGCGTGTCTATCATATTTAATGGGTAGAGAACGTGACCATTAGAAGAGCAGAATCTGGATCGTGTGTGAGTGTGTGTGCCTAAAGCGCAATTTGTCCGAAAAATGGACGACCGTCCAAAAGTGGACTGCCAACTGATGGGGTTCCAGAATAACAACTTATATACTTATAAGCTATATCCAACGTACTATTTTTGTTTTAGTGCAAACATCGATTTTAAAACGCAGCCCTACCTCTGCTCTCTGTCTTATGCGCCGTCCAACCAGGCCGTGGAATACAAACGACAAGATTTGCTAGCCCGGAGCATATTAACTGCAAAGCATGGATAAATGTATTGGTCATCTATCCTCAACTCCCAATGTATGTTGGTGGACCAATTGCCGTTAACTGTCTACTTACCTCCATACGGTTTCCAGTATTTGGCTACAGTTCCGCGCACCTCCGCCCCATAGCCACCCGTGTCTTAATGAGGAACTGCGTTTGCCGGCTTATGGCGTCTGTTCATCGATCTCGCTATAATTGATAACCCCATTAGAATAGGCAAACACAGACATAAACAAACTTGGTAATTCCGCTGCTAACTTTTTTTTAGATTTGGCTGTGTATTCTGTTTAGTTTCTCTATTTTCTCCTCTTTTCATTGATGGCTTTATTTCTGCTAACTATGTAGATGGTTTAGACTCTGATGTCTTTGTTACAGTGTTGTTGTAGCAATCCCGCCTTTTCGCGAAAGTACTCCGAATAGTTAATTCACTTAAACTGGATCCATTTCTTCGTTGTATGGTGTTAGTTCAGAGAATGTCATCTTTCACCACGTTTTCGCTGCACCTTTCGCAAATCATCGATGATATACATGGCATTTTAGAGCGCCCAAATCTCAGAATACTTATGAAGAGATCAAAGCTGCCGCTTTAAACTGAATCGGTGTGTCACGAAATTGGTTAGCGCAACCGAGCTAGGTGATTTGAAACCATCTCAGCTCTTGCGCAATATGCAGCGACTAGATAAATCCGCTACGGTTGCTGCCTCTTTTCAATCAGATGTGGCCTCGCCGGCTCCCACGCGAAATATTTACCATCCTTGACGCTAATGCAAATGCGCCACTAGCTCAGCTAGCCGATACAAGTGACAGTATCTGGGAAGTTTGCAACCGAACCACACACATCCAACCGATGCACCAACCATTGCTACGCTAAGTAAAGGACCAAAGGAAATAGTAGCTTCAGGGAGTGCTAAAACTACTGTTCCAGGAGTCAATTACGTTCGCCATATTTCAAATCTTCCAGATCTCCGTCTACTCATTGCTGGTGCCACGGACGATTTGGTGAAAAGGCTAGATCTTCTCGCCTACTCTGCGTTTTCTTTTGCGTCACAGAGAAACGAGCCGTTCAGAAGATAGGGGCGACGGATGTTGCTGGTCGTTAGTCGCTTTTACTTCTTCACCGATCGCGAAACAGCAGCCCACTACTCTGTGGACACTGGTGGCAAAGTCAGCGTCTTTCCTCACGATAGGAAAGACCCAGATGAGAAGGCGATTTGCGCACTGCACGCAGCCAGCGAACAATCATTCACCCTTATGGTCTGCGTTGGCGTACGTACAATTTAAGTGTACGAACTTCCTCTAAGTGAATATGCTTCATCGCGGATCTCCAATCGTCAATTCTTGTCCTTGACTTTCTGTAACACTTCAACTTGCTAGTCGGCGCGAAGCACCGCCGTCTGATCGATAGCCATACGAAACTGTCACTTATAAGTACTTTGACCGACAGCGATTTAATCAGTCCTGCATACGCCAATCAGTTGAACTCAGCCATTGTGCCGATGCTTCTTATCTATTTCCTGCCTTACGCGCCACAACACCACTGCCATCCGCTATGGATGCTGTTACGGAAGACATTGTTACCAAAGATCTGCCCGTTTTTTCTCAAGCCGGGCGGATTGCCCTCGAGAAGCTGAAAATTGCCTCCTCAGTACTCGAGCATATGCTTGAGCCTCTTGCGCACCTCAAAAAGCTCGTGGGCGGCGCCGCTTCGAATGGTGCCAAATAGGCCAGGAGGCTGGCGTTTATGCTGAGGTTACAGAGCTATGAAGAATGCAACCACTCCGGACCGCCATACTATTCCTCACATTCAGGACGTCAAAACTAGCATGCGTGGCACGCGTGTGCACTCGAAAATCGACGTGGTTTGCGTTTTTCAACAGATGTTAGTCGCTTAGGAAGACATACCGAAGTCCGCCGTAGGCATACTATTTTGGCTCTTCTAATTTTTGTGTTTGTGCTATTGTAAAAACAAGAGATGCAAGCGGAACTACTTACTATGTCCAAAATAGCTAGTACTAGGTGCATCCGTTCAGGCAAACGCGATACTCTCTCATCGTCTCCATCCCTGTTGGAGGCGCGGGTTTCCTTCTGTGTCCAGGGGTTTTGTGGTGTGCAGTGCTTGTGCGACCATTCATCGCGAGCATAAAACTGATATGCTAAAGTGTTCCTCTCCTTCGAAGGAGTCATTACGGCCTGCTATTGACTGGTGGCCTTTTCGCAGCCTGGTCTTTCTACGCTACTAATAACGGGTGCAGTATTGTCTGTCTTGAGTATACTACACTCCCCTCCATCGCACTCGGCCCAGCTGCTTTCAGTCAGAGTCTTTCTGACCATGGGGATGTTCACTGCGCGAAAGAGGTTCCTCTTCCAACTCTTGCCATTTCTTCAATTCACTGGCATGCACTGTCTGTGGATCTTCTTGCTGAGCGATTTTATACACTGTACCTCGACGGTTAACCACGTCGTATGGCCCATGCTACTTCGGTAGGAGTTCCCTCTCCTCTGGGCCACAAGTGGGAACATGTTGATGGTCCCTGTGTTTCATCTTCGATCCAATCTGAAACTCTACCCTCGTCTCATCATTGTTAGTTTGGGACTTCTACAGCCACTGCGCCTGTATTCACTTCAGATTGCGGTTGACTGCCTTCCAGTTATCTTGTGCTTCTTTGAGAGCTTTCGGCACGTTGACCACATTTCAACCTCATCTACGTGTAGATGGGGTGCTCGACAATAAAACAACTGGAATGCTCATTTCTTTGTGAATGCCTGTTTGGATGCTCGATGGGTCAGCAGCAGCACTGGCAAAGCTTCCAAGCAGTTGCCACTCTTTGCCTCTGGCCACTCTATAATCGTTTTGGTTTTACTCTCCGTCAACCCATTTGTCTGCGGGTGGTAGGGAGTTATCCGCCCTTTCCTGATACCTAGTTTCTCTACACATTTCCGAAATTCTTCACCCTTAATGTACAGACCCTGGTCTGTTAAGTTGGAATTTGGGATGCCGTGATCCTGTGTCAAATGTTTCATGACGGCACGGGTAATTGTGGTCGCCCATTGATCCAGGATTCCTGTTGATTCAATCCAACGCGTAATGTGCACCGTCATCAACAAGATGTATTTATTGCTTCGCTTGGTCAATGGAAACGGTCCCATTACATCAGTCGACCATAGTTCCCTAATTTCCGATACCGGAAACAACAACACTGGTTGTTGGACTCCTCGGCACAGATTTCAAGAGTTGACATTGCTTGCACGAAAAAACGTATGTCTCGAAGACCTTCTTCATGCCAGCCGGTAGGTGCGTTGTCTCAGCAGATTTTATGTCCTGGCGCATCCGGTGTGCACCATCTCGTGACAAGGAATCACCAGCTTCCGCTTGAGTTTCGTCGGAATAACAGGCACAGCGATGTTGCTACCTTCTGTATTCCACATCAGGATTCCCGCTTCGTTTAGTTGTAACTGTTCAAACTTTATCGCAAGTGGTCCGAGCTGCGTGTGTTGCCTCCTGTTTTGTACTGATGGACTGGTTATTCGTGCAGTGATCAATTGGCGCAAAAGTTTGTCGCTGAGTTGCTCGACTGTCAACTTTCCCGGGTCCTGTTCCTACAGTATACCATTAATACCGAAAACTACACTAGGCTGCTCATCTTCATTCACCATGAGTGACAAAAAATCAGCAGTTTGGTTCTCCTTTCCAGGCACGTGTCTTATCGTGAAATCGTATTACTGTACGCGTAGCGTTCCTGGGGTCTTTGTCAGACTTAATCCATTCCCAAAGCTTCTGATTCCTTTCGACGTGAAATCGTTGACCTAACAGTGTTGGCCACCAATTGTAAAACACCCAGACGATTGCGTGAAAATCCTACTCTGTCGTTGCATTTGCGTTCTGCCGGTGTCAAAATTCTATTAGCGCACTCAATCGTCTCATGGCTTTGTTTCGAAATCGCGCCATCTTCAGCACAGCTGGCATCCATGACCACCGTGAACATCACTACAGCAATGAACAAATTCAGGATCAGCTCCTGCCTTCCCATTTCCTGTAGAATGTGAGCAAAGGCTTGTTGGATTTCTGCAGTCCAAGTGAATTTCTTATCCTGTTTCAATATCTCGTACAAGGGTGAGGCCAAATTGTTGACTTCTTTGACGAATTTGCCGTACTACCCATCACGGCCCACGAACGCTCGGAAAGTGCGCTTTGAGGTAGGTACTAGGGTGCCTTGTATTGTCAATATTTTCTCAGGCAGTAGCTTCAGCTCACCTTGTCCCACTTTATGGCCTAACAAGGTGACACAAATAGTTCCAATCGGGGTCTTCGGTCCAATTATAAGGAGTCCTGCCTGCCGAATGTGTTCCAGGACTACTGCGAGATGAGCGCTGTGCTCCGCTTCTGATTACATATACACCACGATATCATCCCCGTACACCGCCACCTTCTCCGAGTCACTCAGCAAGTGCAGCATTAAAAGTCCGAAGGTAAACGGAGTTCTTGATATTCTATAAGGCATTCTTTTAAGCTGGTATTGTTTT